AAAACTTCATGTGGGTGTGTTAGGTGACGAATGAAAAGTTCCTTCGATTTTAAATAGTAAAAATACAAAATTTCTATATATATAGCTATTACAATAGGTGTAAAATGTCGTCTGACTGATATTAAAAATAACAAAATAATAACAATAATCTTAAAATAATAATACATGAATATTGAATGTTAAATATATAGATGTTAAATACTTATAGTAGTTAACTAGATAAGTCAGTCATCACAAATACTTTAAACAATTGATTAAGAGGATCGACTTATCGAATTTATATGTATATGTATGTTTTATTAAATAACGAAACCAAGGGTTTATCTTAAAAGTTAACAGGAAGATTATAATCAACAAAATGATTTTCTTCACAAGATGGAGTGTTGGTATTGATTGATAACTCCATTCTGACACCGTTAATCATCCATACAGGATTAATATAAACTTCGTGCACAATATCTTGTTGTTGACATACTATTGTTATATCAGTGATGTTTGGAATGGCATTTGTTTGTGGAATAACTGCTTCCAGATTCATTACTAGTACTATGATTCTCAGTTCCCATCGCATCCACATCAGCATCATTATTGACAACTATATTGTCTTGATTATATGTTACTGTGTCACTATTGTAAACTTTAGACGAATTCTGTTTTGTTTTATTTGTAAGAACCATTTTTTTATATAAATCAATAATTTAATTGTTTTTGATTCAATAAATTTATTAAAAGGCCAACAAAAATCAAAACCATTTATAATGTTTTAAAAATTAGAAAATATTAATAATATTATTACATAATCATAAAATAGAGCAGAATGTCATCCTAATTGTGATATTTTCATTCCAATTGGTTTAGTATTTTTATTAATTAATCAAAATTTAAAAAAAATAAAGAATTTTAACATGAGCAGTTGATATTTTAAATTGTTGGCGATCTTTAAAGTTTACATAATAACAATATGTGATTTTTCAGTTTGATAGATGATGGAACTTCAGCTTACTAATGAGTATAAGATTGTAATTTATTTCAAAAATTGGAATATTAACAGCAAATATTAATTTATCAATTATAAGTGTAAATTGATTGATATTTTTTTAAATTATCAACAAACAACAATATGTTAAATAATGAGCCTTTAGCTTCCTAGTGAGTGTAAGATCATTCATTCAATTTGGTCAAGTATTTAGTTACAAATTTTTAATTTTAATGATTAATGAAGAAAATTTTTTTCTCATTTACTGTTTAAATTTTTATATATGGAAAAATTATGAGGACAGAAGCTACAAACTGATATAATTCAATTTAATTTACATTTATTAATAAAAATTTATTATATATAGAAAGATTATCTAAAGATCTATTTAAATGATTCATGAACATACAGTAAAGTTAGTGATTACTGGTATGATAATATGAAAAGAAAAAAAAATTAAATTATAATGTTAACATAGAACTCATTGAGATCACAACCTTTTTCTTCTTTTCTTTGGTGGTACATTGTTCAGCCATGTAATAATTTAAACCAATTTTTTCATAATCGTGTAGTTAATTTTTAAAATCAATTAAATATTGTCAAAAAAAAATTTTAATATTGAATATATTAATTAAATTCATTTAATATAATCTTTGATACCTAATACTAATATTTAATAGTTTTCCTTTCGTTATCTGTTACTTATTTTTGTCATTAATTCACACTACCTTAAAAATTCTTCACAATAAAATAAATAAACAAAAGTTTTAAATTTAAAGATTATTATCATCTATATTAATTATTGAATTAAGAATATTAATCAATAGTTTTTCTTTTGTAACCTTTTGAGTAGAAACTCCAATTAAAAGATTGTGTTTTCATATGTTAGAAAACAATAATGCAAAAAAAAATTGTTGAAAAGTTCTCATAATAATAAATAACTTATAAAACCTTTTTTTGCTTTAATTTCTTCCTTCCCCAATAAACCCATACAAACCATATATTTTTCTGAAAGCTCTCGATATGCTCTGTCTTATCATGCTAAAACGATCTCAATAGAGCTGATTTCCGAAAAGAATTAAGCTTCCAAAGTCAAAAACCATAGGTTTCTTTGAGAGACTATTACTCTATAACTGGAAGAGCTAGAGGCGCATAAAGCTTGTATTTTAAAGTTCAAAGGCAAATGTTTGTTTTTACTTAGAGGCACGAAAATGGTTTAATAATGAGTTTACGTTCAATTCATTCGCCAAAGTCCGTTGCACAAAAAACATGTCATGTCGATCATATATTAACATTAAAATCAGTGACTAATATTAATATTAATACACAATTTATGATAAATAATGTTACATGCGCTCTTTGCGCCCCTTCAATTTTACACACAGGCCGCGTGGATGCGGAGATTTCTATAGTAAACTTAATAAACTTTTTACCTTCATCTCGCGAATTAATATTATCACCAATTCAAATTATTATCATTATCATAGTAATCTTTGAATTTCGATTTTTTTATAAAATTATACAAATAAAGTTTAGTAGATCGCCTACTGATGTTTTCTTTTATTCAAGTATTAGTATTAGTATTAGTGATGATAAGTTACGCATATTTGTGTGTCCAGCTGAAATGAGTTTTGTTTTTTGTACAATCTACCAAAAAGGAAATACATTTATCATTGATTTTTTTTGTAAATTGACGACATTAATACCTAAATTTTCAAGTTTTCAAAAACGTCTAAACAAAATTTTGGATACCTTAATATTAAAAAATAAATGAATAAAATAATCATTAAATATTTGCTACATAGCCATGACTCTTTCAGAAAACGTTATACAACTCGTAAATCAATTAAATTTATCAGAACACGAGAAACAGTTATTAGAAAATACACCTATTGAAATTAACGGCACACAAATCGACCAATTTCTTTCAAAAGAAAAAAAAAGAAAAATCTTCTTCAAAGAAAGTAGTCCAACAAAAAAAATGGTAAAATAAATTTCTTAAATTCCGTAAATATCATGCAATTTTTTTAAGAGAAACTCTCCCTGAAGAAAATTCCAATATAGAAGATATTTCAAAAGATACAAAAATGCATGGAATGCATTAAAAAAATCTGATCCTACAAAAAAAGTAGAATTCTTTGAAAACTTGACAAGAAGAACCGGGAGATGATTAGTTTCAAAGAACTCGAAGATGACGATTAATGTTGGTTTCCAAAATTAGAGAGTTTCGCGACTGTGCGAAAGTTAAAAGGTTTCGCCATAAGTCGAAACTAGTTTTGACCTTTGACCTTTGACTTTTGACTTAGTTTTGATATATAAATTTTAATTTTAGTTTTGATTTTCACTTCTTCAAAACAGTTTCGGCAACCAACACTAATGACGATGAAAAAAAGTTGGTGTGCAGAGAAGTCCATTTTGACAACAAAAATGATTCTAATTTCATTTATATCAACAGAGACGGCAACGACAGCAACAACAACAGCAGCAGCAATAATAATAATATTACAACATTCGATACGACAATGCATAATGCATCAAATTATCAGGACGCTCAAAGTACTTATCCTTATTCAAGCCAAGAGGTTGAATTGGTGGAGTCTGGACAATTATCACTCAGTCAATTATTACACTTGTTTTGTAATCAAGAGATATTCAATATGGAAGATGATGAATGTTTAATACTGGAGATTATTTGTATGGGACAATATACAACACAAGTTCATCTCAAGTGAGCGATTGTGGAATCGATCCCGATACTTTTTTTCGTCAGTATTTTAATAATCAACACGGAAACTAACGTTTCGTTTTTTTTTCTAGTTAATCTTTATTCAACGGACTGGGAAAACTTTTATTGTCAATCTTTTTTTGGGAAAAATTTATATGTGAAATTGGAATTGGAAATTTATAGTTTTATCAATTTTAATTAACAAAAAAAAAATCAGATATTTTATCAACTATCGTTTATTTTTGTAATTTTCAAGATTAATTCAGGCAAATTTGGATGTCCTCCTTTTAAACATTTATTATATAAATCAAAGCCTAAATTTTGGTTTGCTGCACATCATCATGTTAAATTCGCTGCTTTAGTTCATCACGATTCATCATCAATCAATAATTACAATAGTAACGATGGTAATATATTAGAATTTAAGGGTTTTAATATTGAAGAAAAAGTTGTGAATCCTGACGAAATAGATATGAATCTTGATGAAGATGATGACAACGATGATGACGGTGAGAAAGAGAAGTTGGATGAGGAATTAGGCGAAGAAATTAATGAAAAGTTGGATGAAGGAATGAAAGAGAAGGTGGGCGAAGGGAAATATGATGATAAAAAAATTATAAGTGAGGTTCCTGGTGATGTCAATGAAAATAAATTAATCATAGGAAATACTAATACTGAATTTTTGGAAGCTGGTAATGAAATGTCACTTGATAACAATGATAATAGTAATAATAAATCATTAACAATGCCAACAGTAACAACAACTTCAACGGTTGATTTAACATTATCTTCTTCATTCACTTCAAATATTGCAACAACAAGATTTTTATCGTTGGACAAATGTGTTCCTGGGAGAAAATTTTTACAGGTTTGCCAATCACCACATATATATATATATATATATATATATCTTTTTTTTTCAAAATATCCAGAATATCAAAACATAATAACAGATTATCATTATTATTATTATCCAAAAGATTTTAGATTTTCCAAATAATGATAATGAAGTTATGGAATTGAAATATGATGAAGAGTGGTTGGCAATTATAAAAGCTACAAATCCATACTTTAGTACGTCACATGTTCAAGAAATTTTGCCAACAGAAAACGAGATAAACAGGTAGTCAATATATATTTTTTGAGATTCAATTAATATAGTTCCAAATTTTATATTTCAGAAAAAATTCATGTTATTTTTAATATTATAGTAAAATAGAAACTGAATTAAAGTGGATAAAAGAAAATATTTCAAATAAAGAATCTGGACTTTTGATTCCAAAAAACTTTCGACCAACAGCTCCAGCGTATGATGATACTTTGTCTCCCACCCAACAAAAATCTTTCAACACAAGTAAGTAATTAAATAAACGTGATTTATTACAAAAATTTGATGACATATTTATTTGCCAATTCTATTTTTATTTATTAATTGATAGGAACACCTTTTCTAAATCCACAAACTGTTGATTTCACAAACCTTTTAAATATTAATAACAAAATTAATATAAACGGGCAAAATTACATTGCTACCAATAACATTACCATCAATAATGCTAATACCAATACTACTTCTCTTACTATTATCGAATGATGTTGTTTTTAAATTGATTAAGGAAAAAAATTTTTTTTTTGATTAAATGATTACATTAATCAATTTGTAAATATTATGGTTTTATTGATGCATTAGAAATATAATTTATATAATATTCTCAAAAATAATAAATTATAGTCATTGTTGAAATCATATGCATGGGATATTTAATTATTTACTTGGCTAGAAACATTATATAAAACATTATTATTATTTTTTGAATTAATAGAATTTTCTTTAATAAAAAGAAAAATTCTATAATGCCAAGTCATCTTTATCAATTACCAACACGATCGCGTCAACTACAACACCAAAAGAATCACCAAATAAAACAATTACAAAAACAATCAATAATATCAATTCACTATAAATTTATTTTATTATCTTCTGCCTTCCTATTATTGTTGTTATTATTATTATTACTATTAATCCTATCCAAAATATCAATTTTTAATTATTCATCATCTTTACCATCATTAAATTTTTCTGCATCCATAAATCATCAACAAAGCAATAATCACGATACATTATTAATTGATGACAATTCACAAATCCCTAAAAATAAAGATTTCATCGCCCCACTTGATGATATGCATGATCCTTTATTTGATATAAGATTTAAAAATGGTTTATTAAGCTTCTCTGAACCTTCGTCATTATCGCATTCAACATCGCTATTGAAAAAACGTGCTCAGCCACCACCACCAAAAAAATCTTCAAAAGTTAATCCACCAGGGATTTCAATTGATAATCAAGAAGCTACCTCAGAAACATTGGAACATGAATTACACAAGCACTATGAAGAAGAATCAGAGGATTGGTGGGAAGTTTATCGTTCCTATGAGTATGAAACTGCAGATTCATTGGGTAACATGTTTTTAGTAGAAGTGGAAGAAGCTCAAGTAATTCATAAACAACATGCTTTAATGGATGATTTACAACATGCCGATGTGTCAACTAAAGAGTATGCATCACAAGAAACATTGAATACTGGTGGCATGGTTACTAAAAGTTCCAAAGATAATGACAATAATAAAGCAGGTAGCAGTTTTGCTAGTGGTGGCGGTGGAATACAACAAGTTCAAGATAATGTTAATAATACTTCAATAGCTGTGGCTGAACAACAACAATATCAACAACAGGATCTAATTGATGTCAAACAATATCAACATATACATGTTGTTCAATCCTCAGCTGCAGGATTATTGACTAATGAATATGAGGAAGCACGATTTGTTCAATACGAATATACGTTGGAAATTGATTTATTTAATCAATGGGAATACCAAAGTGAACAGGTAACAAGTAAAAATGATAATTTGGAATTGATTAATTAATAGTAAATTTTAGTCGGGATTTTTTTTCGAAAATAATTGAATTTCTTTTATTTTTAATTGTTTCGAGTTTTATAAAATATAAAACTATGATAATAAAATTTCATTTACACAATCTTCGGAACTAAGCTATAAACCAATATGAATTTTTATGCACATGTTTTATACATGCTTTTGTGTAATTAATACATTTTGTGCAGGTTGGCAGCTAGAACAATGGACACTGTATATGACTGATAAAAATGCAATTAATATTAATTATAATTGGTGATTGTTTGAGTTATTTGAATGAACTTTACATTCAAGTTTTCATTTGATTAGCATCAAAAACAAGGTATTGTAAATAATCTCACCTTACATTCAAATATTACGAAAACATAACCCATTCGCACATTTTCACATAAAAAAATTCAAATTACAAAATCCTTCTTTAAACACAAATAATCAAAAATGCTTACTTCCAACCATTAATTTTTTTGCATATTGTTAATTGAGTTCTTGGTTTTTTGTTATACTGTAAAACTTATATGGTTGGCTCGGTCTAAAGGCCTCCAGTTGCTGCGCCACGCACTCAAATTTCGAAAAATTGCAATTTCGTGATTCGTTCAAAAATGCAATAAAAAGGTTTCACGTGATATTGGTCAAAAAATTTATTTCTTACTGCCAAATTTAGATATGATGGTGGAGCATTAGTTTAAATTTAGTAATGATGATCAAAACCTAGTTTAAATTTAGCAATGATCATAGCACTCAAATTTCTCATGAGCATAGTAAAGTACACGTTTTAAAAAAGAATATAACTCTACAACAAAGAATTTTTGAGAAAAACTCTTTATTACATTAAAACTAAATACATATTCTATCAACTAATAGAGCAATTTTTTAAAAAAATAGGACAGAAAATGATTTCTATACTTTTAAAATTTGCCCAAAATTTAGGAGGTCTTTAGATCGAGCTGACTATAAAAGATAAAAAATATCCCTGAAATTGAAAACCTATGTGAAAATTTTAACAATCAATTAACTGGGTTCAGATATTTCTTTCAACAAAATGACCCTTGAAGTTTGTGAATTTTTTGGGAAAAAGAGAGTTGTTGCAGCCTCCACCATCAAAAATTCTATCAACGAAAAAAAATTTTGATCCTAGAAGAAAATCATTAGAAGTAATCTGTATGAAAAACTTTACCTGAATCTAACACCTGCATCAGCATCATTCTCTGAAGAACGCAAGTGGAACGATCCGCGACATTGATATCGTTCCTGAAAGTGATATTATTCTCGACATCTATTGAAAAATAACAAGATTCACTCCTTGACTGTTAGCCGGATACTCTCATGCAAAAAAATACATGATTTATAAGTGGAATTGCAGGCGTCAGATTTAATTAAAATTTTCTATTACAACACGCCGATGCCATATTTTACCTGCTCCATAACTGTGGATCTTTTTCCACGGGTTGAGCCACATGCATGCTGTGAAGTTTTTGGCAAAACTTTCCCTTATCTTCCTCTCAGACCAGACTTGACTGTTACCATATGGTCATTGATAATTGATGAAGATCAGCATTTGTGTGATGATCTGAGCGCTGTGAAGATTAGTGAAAAGATCCTTGACGATTGATGCAGCAGTCTCAGTAAACTCCAGAGCCCCGTCGTAAAACCCCCTGGAATTCTGTTGCATCATTGTATCATTGGCACCACCGTTGTCCGATTAGCCTTTTGTACTCTAGAAATGTGTGAGAACGACTGTAGAGTGCTCAAGGTAGCGTGCGTGCTTCAACGTCTGTAAATTTTCGATAATCAAACATCGCACATCGAAATGTTTCAGTCATGTTACCTGACAACTTGTAATTAATTACAATCATAATATTATTATTATTGTTGATTATGAAAAGCAAAATATCAATCTAGATTTGCTCCGCGTTTCGATTCCAATTAAAATATTTATAAACTAAAAGACATATCAATGCAAATAAAAAAATAGTATCTCCATACCAAACAACACTCGCGTTTTGTCATCTTGGACTCAAATAAATTGTTTTTCCAAGAAAAAAAAACCAATTCGCGTCAACAATAGGGGTTCCATATATAAATAATTAATTCGTAAATCATTCTTACTGATGGTTCCTTTAAACCATAAGGAAAACAGGCTTATTGAAATAAATTAGGTGAATTTCCATTGGACTATTACAAGTTAAATGAGTCATTAACCTTAACTTTTTTATAATCTTCATTATTAAAAACATCATTGTCATTTTTTTCAAATAATTCTGATTTGTTTTCAATTAATTCATCATACAGTATCATTTCCACTATCTTCTTTTAATTTCTTTCCATATTATAATTATATTTTGAACTTTTGTTCATTGGTGAACAT